TATTGTAGTTTTCATTCTCATACAGAAAATGTACAATTTATATCTTTTTCTTCTTTAATTTACTTCAAACTTCTTTTCTCTGTATTCGTCTTAGCAATTATTCAAGGATTTTAGAAATTGAGCGCATTTCTTCGTACAGTTGAGACCTTCGTGACTTCCTTCATTGAATACGTGGTATGCGTTTCCTCCTTTAACTTTAGTTATCCTGTATGGTTCAAGATACTTTGTTTTTAATTTGTTGATGGGGAAAGAAAATTAGTGATTTTGCCTGAAAGTATGCAAACAGAAAGGATTAGAAGTATCCTCAAGAAAGCATATTTAGAAGTCAACTATACTCAGAAAAGCATTCAAGAGAATTATTTCATCTCTAAACTTAGACAGAAAATAGAAAATATCATAGCAAATTGCTTTCATTTTATTCTTTTGAATTGTAAAAGGAAAAGAAAGAAGGTCTTCAATTATCATTGCATAAAAAGAAGATTTTCCACTAAAAACGCATTATTGAAATCAAATTGGACCTTTGAAGAATACACATAAAGATTATAAGTACATCTTAGTAATCAATGGTGCATTTATTAAATTTGTATGCATTTATCTTACGACGTCTACAACATCTGCTGAAGTTATAACGAAGTTGGAAATACGAAAAGCTGTATTTGGTAGTCTTTCTCAAATAATCTTCAAAGGAAGTATAGCATTTACCTCTAACGAAGTTGTCAATTACTGTTTAAAGAGAACATTAAACATCATTTAATAAATACTGGCCTACCGAGGGCCAACGGACAATTCGAAAGTATCAGTCAGACTATCATACCAACTCTTTCAAGTTGTCGTCAGAAAACCCGGCCCAATAGTACAAGCATACAAATGAATCGCAGCAGGCTATTAATTGGACATTTCAGACAAGTATAAAAACCACACCCTTTGAACTGCTCTTTGTTACAAAGATGAATGCTAAAGGTACTGACAAGCTGACTGAAATGATCGAAGCTGAAATTCAAACAAATTTTGAAACTGAAAGTGATGAACTTAGAAAGCATGCGAAGGAACAGATATTTAAAATTCAAGAAGAAAACAAGAAAACATAATTTAAGAAGATGAGAACAAAGACTTTACAAAGTTAAAGGTTTGGTAGCCATAAAAAGAGTCCAGTTTGAGCCGCATTAAAATCATCCCCCATGTCAAACTTAAAACTTTTTTCAAGAGATCACACAAGGATTTAGCAATAACGGAATATTTTGGAATAAACTCTCTGAGATATGCGTTGAGTCCAACAAAACTATGAATTTGTTTTAAATTAGTCGATTCTGGGAAATTCAGAACCACTTTCGTTCTTAAAGTAGATGAAAACATTTAAACAGTTTATCTACTTTTATAACATGACACAAGAATTCCATTAGCTTCTTCAAAAAATGAGATTTCTTAAAAGTAATCTCAAGTTCATATTCACTAGCAAGCCCGTTTAAACCGTTCGACTGCTTCTTAGATGGAGGAAGACAAGATTATTACATCATCCATATACGGCAAAACAATACCGTCATTAATTAAAGGTCGAAAAATGGTGTTATTGTACTTCTGAAATATAGCCGGAGAATTACAATAGCCCAAAAGGAGCCTTGAGAAAGTGAAATTGCCCTTCGTGTGCTACAAATGAAATTTAATTCTTACTATCGCTGTTTAAATCAACATTGAAAAACCCGTTTTTAAGATCAATAAACATATGTGATCCCTGTAACCGATCTAGAATATCTTCAATTAATGGAAGTGGAAATCTGTCCTTTACAATTATTTTATTTAATCTAGGTTCTACTATTCCTTGTGCTAACCACTCAGCTACATGGAATTCGACAATTTTTTTCCTGAAAATAGCAACTTACGAGCTGATTAAATGTAGCTTCATTATGTTTTTACCGAAATGTTCATTTTTATATTTGTTGTTTCAGTTTTACGCGGTACATAACTCGAAACTAATTGCTGCACCTTATGTTTGAAAATGTTGAAAACATCACGTTCAGTATTTAATTCAGTTTCGTCTTAAGTTAAATCAATTGGAAGAATAAAGAAAGTACTTATTTTTTCTAAGCACTGAGATTTATTTTAAACTGTAATTCCATTTTCATTTATTAGGAATTCACCCTGCATTAATGCATTGAGTCCTATGATGACGACACAAGACATACAATATTTTCCACTTGATGTTAGCATTACACTTAAAATCTTCAGTTTGAATACTTTCTTTAAAACAGCCTAATAATTCCACACGGTATTTTCCAAGTCCCACCAAAGAAGAACTCAAACGACGTAATTCCTCAACATTTAATTTATCAAAAACAAATTTTCTAAGTAATGTTGCTTGATTTCCTGTGTCTGTTAATGATTTTACCGTTAATTACCATTCACTAACATTTTGTTTAATTTCGATACAACATCAACGTTCAAAGTGGCTGTTTCTGGTTTCGCATTTGTTTTAGGGCATTCCGAAAGTTTTGTGACCAAAAGCTTCACATTTAAAACATTTAATTCCCTTATCTTTATGGATAAAAGTTTCAGAAATATGATTTTTGAAGCCACAATTAAAACAAATTTTACTGTTACGATTTTCAGAACTATTACATTTCACCTTCGCAGATTTATTATCATACTTTATTTTTATTCGAGTTTTCATTCTTTGAGTTAGCTCTATCATTAAAGTCATGTTTCGTTTCCATTCTATGGAGAGTACCTTTACATTTTACAAAATCGCATTTCATTATTTCCAATACTTTTTCCACAATTTGCCGTTTTTCTTTAAATTCAAATAAGTTTTTACATTGGTACAAAATAATTTTGTTTTCGTATCTATCATTTATTCCTTTTATGACCATACCGCATTAAGGCCACGTCATCTATTTTCCCCAAATTACATAATTCTGGCTTCTTTAAGAAATTCTCCTGTGCCGATTCAGTATCCCTCATTTTCCAAATTTTTGTAAATCTGTCAGATTAACTTAGAAGTATTCTCAATCGGGATAGTAGTTAGCGAAGCTGACTGCGGTACTAAAGAGCCTGGGTTCGAATTTCGGAGAAGACATAGATGTTTGTAAATGTACAGTGTGTAATGCGGCATGGGAGCACTCTAAATATGCGGCGAGCCTAAAATCCTCTCGAGATCGAGAGGTTGATGGTAGGAGTGGTGGGAGACTCTCCTCCCGAGGTGCTCTCCATCAAAAATGGGGGCGGAACTGAGCAAAGTCGTACTGTCACCTATATGGTGCTCAAGGCTCTTGCCAACAACAGGCGCAGTCTTGCACTCTGCGCCACGATGAATTTCGTGGCCTTGTTCTGATGTTACTGTCAGACACGTGAGGTAAATCACAACAAGGACAATATATATATATAATTAGTTATTTTATTTAGCTTAGTTGTTATATATATATAGGGAGAGAAAGCATATGTAAGGTAAAAATTTATAAATATTAATTATAATTTAAATTAGTAATAGTCCCTTACGTCCTCTTTCTAATTTGGGTACTTCCTCTATCGATTCGAAGAATCCTTATAACTAACCTATTGAAGTGCGCTTTCGTTTTTTTTTTCACGCTCTCTAGATTAGCTAGTGCGTAGTTAATAGTTTCGCTGTAGCATCTAATGTCTCGCATTGTGAATTAGTTGCATATAAAATTGTGGGGTGCTTATTGCACCTATAGTGTTGTGCAAGCCAAGAAGTGGTCTCTTAAAAAATTATTCGTCAAGAAATAAAGTTATGTGGTTATTATCCAGCTATTTATAGTTTTACAGATTCTTACGCATCCTATTTGTAAGCGAGCTACATCTCTCGAAAACATCTCGGTCACGACTAAGACATAATTGGTATCTTTTTTGCAATTTTAATTTTTATCATATTTTGTAAAATTTTGTTTTTGCTGTTCAGATTGAATTTCACGTCACGCTTGACATTTTGAGATTGGGTGTAAATAGAGTACAGAAACAGAATTTTGCTCAAGGATCAAGTGGAACGAAATGTGAATTCAGCACTCTTTAATTGTTCAAATTTTAATGTTTTAAAATACCAACTCTTGAAAGCTCGATTTGGAGCCTTAAAATATGAATAATTAAATTATGAAAAGTTATAAAGTTAATAATGTTTGAATTTTCAATTATTAAAATCTTTTTAAATTATAATTTATTTAAAACATCTTCAATATTGTTTAGGAAAAAACTTTAGCAATTTGCATTACACATTGTTAGAAATTTGAGGGTACTTTTAATTCAATTTCTGTATTTTCCCAGGATAGTATAATGTATTACTTCTGATTAAATTTTTTCAGTATCCCTGTCTGGACATATAGGAACTAGACATATTTTAAAGAAAAACGTCAGTATAGAAAGAAATGGTGAATTATAAGTTACTTTCATATAGGCATCTTACAAAGGAGGCAAATTACACGCAATATTCTAATTTATTGAAAAAAAATTATATGCTTTTTATTTACTGAAAAATGTGTTATCGCAAATTTATTGAAAAAGAGTTAGAGAAAAGTAAGCTACTTTCAGATATACATTTTTAGAAAGAACGTTTATTAAAAAATTAAGTTCTACCTTCTAATTTGTGGGAAAAATAACATATTTTTTATTTACTGAGAAAAAGAAAAGCTATCCCAAAATTAATGAAACAAAGTTGCAGAAAAGTAAGCTACATTCATGTCACCAAGAAAGATAATTATCTCACCAAGAAAGTACAATTTAATGCAATCTTCCAATTTATTGAAAATTTTTCTATACTTTTTTTTAATAAAAAAGTTATCAAAAATTTTGTGAAAAATAATGTTGCGGAAACATAAACTACGTTCAAATACGTATCTTACTAAGAAAGGAAAAAGTGAAACTAAGTGCATTTAGTATCGCATAGTTAGACAAAACAAAAGTATTAATAAATGTTCTAAGAAAGACCATAAAGTGAGAAATTCTCTTTATTTCGATATCATCGTCATGCTAGATTTTTTTTCCAAAATTCTACTTACCACAATCGTTCTCATCTGAAGAATCTTTGCAGTCCACAACGCCGTCACAAAGCCTGTCAGACATTCCACGTGCTTTTAACTCGTTGGAACACCCTGAAATAAAAATTAAAAGTTCTTAAAAACAAATAAAGAAAAAATAAGTTAATAAACTACACATTTTTATTGTTATAAATGATACACGTAATATATTCCTTAGCAAAACTTACACTCCAGCAGTGGCCGAGTGGTTAAGGCCACTAAATGCTAGGAGCTCCACCTGAGTTGGATCCCAGTCGACCGACTGCTTGCATGGCCAGTTTTCCACATGCATAATGTGAAAACAAGTCAGTTTCATATAGAAAAATCCCCAACAAAGCCATCCCTCCTCTTTGGCAGATAGCCCGTCGTGTGCTTTGCCATGTTTAGGTAACCTAGGCTAACTCAGCAAAGTTTTATCCGCAGATAAAACATGCTTTAGTAACAGATTATTGCTTGAAAAGTGAATTGTCGAAACCGAATGCTCTGCACTCGTGATGGATGGCTAAAAATCATGTTTATCTGATGAACAATTAGATTTCTATCGTCAGCCATTCATATTTTTATATAAATAGTAATAACTTTTCCAGTTGATGTATGGGCTAAAGTTTTATAGCTTCTGTACTTTCTAAAATTCACGTAAAAATTTCAGCTACAGAAACATGAATACAAACAAGCTAGTATTGATTGAAAGCCTTACCTCTAACCTAAGTAGTTTATCAACATACATTTTGTGCACTTTTATGTATTAGAAATTGCATTCTTATAATAACGTTGTGGTACTTATGTTAATATTATGGCATTAAAACATTTTAAATTTTATTAACGAAATGCTATTTAATTTATTTCTTTCTTTTCGGCCGTTTTGCCACGAGGTTCTCTCATTCCGGAAATTATGTAGATTAGACAGTTTTACTATAAAGATCAGACATTAAAGAAAAGGTGTGTGAGAGTTTGGCCTGCGTTCCGCTGCCCTACCTGCTGAATTAAATAGACTGTAGGCGACGCCAATGCTAGTCTTTTTGGAAATAAACTTTGATTGAAGTTAGATCCTGTTTTGGCCAAGCGCGTGTTTGAAATTTTATCTCTGTCAAAGTAAGCTTGCAGTCTCTAGTCAAATTAGATTTAATTTATTGCAATTATATCCTTTGTGAAAGAAAGATTTGTTTTAAACCAGGTTCAAGTTGTTTGTAAATTTGTGTTTATGTATCTTAATTAAGAACTCACAAGGTGCGAGGTAAACTTAAAAGTGTTTTAATTCTGTACCTGCCTGTAATGGTGATATTCTGGAGGTCATAATTCCCTTCACAGAAGAGAAGTAACACCTTATTGATATAGTTGAGTTATATTGAACCCACAACAGCTGTTACAATGAAAGTTTAAGAAAGAAAAATACTAGTATGAAAATCATAAAAGAAAGGACATGCGAGTACACTGCTATATCCCAATGTATTTTTTATGTCCTGTGTTTAGAAGATAAAACATGCATATGTCTGTACCTAGATTAATATAGTTTTGTTTGATTCAGGAAAATGAAATGACTAATTTTAAACTAAAAGTGAAAGTATTTAGAGTAGATTTTATTGTGCATCATGGCATTAAACACCATTTTGTTTATTGTTTTGATACTTCGCATGAGAGAATTCCAAAATATTACCTAATACATTTATTTGAAAAAGGAAAATGAAAGTTCTTGGATAAATTAGTTTAAAAACACTTTTGCACAAGATAACAATGAAATACGTAAAGGCTCTTGAAATATATTTCCTAAGTAGTCCTCCGGTCGTAGGGGGAATCTAGATTCTACAGGATGTCTTTAAAAAAATTCCGTAACAACAAACAGAAGAATGTATATTTGTTTTACCTTAATAGAAAAGCTGCTTATGGTGGCAAAAATAGAAAAATTAGTACCAAAATCGAAGATGGCTCCTTGTTAGTATAATTACAACAGTAGCAAAATTCTCCAACAGCCAGTTGTTAGTATTATCAAGCCATAGTAATACACGTACGAAATACGCAAAATTAATGCTATTACTGTACATCATGTGCCTAAGGAAAATAGAAGGTATTCCGATTGGTGCATTGTAATTTTGTTTTCACATGGCTTATAATTAAGCTTCCCTTTTGGACGCTTTTCGAACTGAGCTAGGCCTGAATCAGGACTCAAAATCACTACATTAGTTGACCTTCATTATCCTAAAGTAAAGCTGATTACTTACATTTGAAAGAGATTTGCATCTAAAAAATTAACGAATGTAAAGAATAATTTTTTTTCTGCCGATTATGCTTCTAAGAAAATTGTTATTCAGAGGGTAAGAAAATTCCACTTTATCTTCTTTACATTCATTTACATAAATTATTTCATTCATTCATTTATATTAATTATACAATGATTAATTTCATCTTATTCAGATTTAATATTGGAAAAGGAACAACATTTGAATTTGGTTAAATATAAGTATTAACTTTAAGATATCTACCAAAAAAGCTATTATGTGTTTGAAAGGGACTTAATTTATTTCATGCATTAAAGATATTAAAGATTTAGGCAAAGAGAGTGTGCTTTATTACTTGCATACTAAAATAAATTTTTTGAAATGGAAAAATTCGGTAATACTTTATAATAATATTCTTTTGAATACTTTGAAATATATAGTACGTACAACAATGTAAAAGATATAAAAATGAAAGACAAACACCAAGGAGCGAAAACAATTTATTAGCTTCGTTTACAGAAAAGCTCATTTTAAATATATTAATGGTGATAATGAAGAAAATAAAAAAAGCTAATAACTTCCAAGTTTTAGTTAATGGGCTACATATAGACAAGCAGTTCTAAAGTGGTTAAGATTTTCAAAACTTAATTAGAGATTCTTAGATAAAAGATAGATCCTTAGAGATTCTTTGATATAATACCTCATTATTGAAGAAATAATCATTTTAGCATAAATTTGTGTGATCAATAATTTGACTTCGTAGCTGTGTATCTGCTTGGCATATATCTCAAATCAAAAAACATTATACATAGAAACATCGTTGATTTTACACCAACTAGTATTTTATACCCTTGACGAAGACCTGGCGAATCATTATTTATTATATTTTGCTTTCATCACAGCTTGTTTATCAAAACATGACAACTTGACTGATGACTCACGCAGCAATGCCTAAATAATTTTTTTTAATAGTAATTGAATAACAAAGAGTATCATCCGATTACAGATATAAGTTAAATGCGCTAAAATGTTGACGAGGAACGATTTAACAAAAAATTCTTTCCATATGCTAAAATTGATTTTGTTAATGATGCTCATAGGCCAAAAGATTATATTTAGTGCTATTTGAATTAAGAATAACTGATTTGTTATTCACATAAAGCCAGAACCGGCGTCAGAGCTCGCATGGCCGTACTAGGCTGCAGAATTTAGGGAAAAAGAGGAGTTAACAGAAGTTTTTCATTGCGATGACAATGCCCCAATCATCAATCAATCAACGGATGGCAAAACCTGTAGTATTGTTCTAGATCCAGAAAATACCACTACCGATAGTGAGGAAAGTGATAGAGAGGTTATTGGAAAAAAAAAATTTGATTGACAAGTTAGTCGGAATTCTCGACACAGCAATTACAGGATTTGAATAATGGAACTTAGTAACTGACCAAGGAATTATATGTCTACAGAGTTAAAGAGAAAGTATTAGCACAAAAAAGCAACTTAAACAACTTCCATTGAAAGAAATGTGTAATAAAGAAAACATATAAATGTTAAGCTCTTTTTTATAATTTTGATACCCTTTAGATAAAAAATGTTTCATTATTTTTTAAATCACGATTTCATATTTTTAATTTCATAATTTATACATGCCATCTTAGAAGATTTAAAATGATGTAATATCCAGAAAAATCCCAAATCCGGGATCACCGAAGTCTCGACGAGTCCGCAAATCCGACTTTATACTGTATGCTACTCATGACGCATTTACTGATATAATGGCAGAAGGGTTTTCAGTCAGTAATGATATTACAAATAGCGATTTATAGCCTACATTAACCAACAGGAATAAAGTAAAACTATAACTGTATTATTTATAATCTAACCTATATAACAGAATCTACACATTTTTTCCTAGCTTCTCTAACCTACTAACTTGCTGTCCGTTGCTGCTATTAATTACTTTAAATGTATTGCGAAGAATAGCAAAATACAGGTATTATCATAGAAGAATGTTCGCTCAGACTGCGCCAGTTTAGCTGCATTTGTCAAAAATGTCTTATCAAGAAGTAAAGAAATATTTAACGGGACATGATTCCTACAACATTATTACGCACAAACTGTCATCATATTCCCCGTCGCCATATCAAAATTTTAAGTATATGCAAGAAGAAACGCGATTGCTTAATTTTATGTATCTCTGTGTGTATGGAGATTCTCATTACCAAGATTGTAAAGTCGTAGGAGGAACAGAAAGCACACTGGCAACTCGAAATTGAACAGTAGTGCAATCCAGGGTCGGAAATGCTTTCTTTATTCGGTAGATGGTGTTGGTTCAAACGTTTTTGCTGAGAATCTTTGTAGAGTCATTAGGTTAATTGGAAGCAGAAAAGAAAGATGAAAAATATGCAACCGCCTTCGCCGGGAATCGAACCACGGAGCTCTGAAATACCGGCTCAGTGTGCAGAACCACTGCACCACGAAGGCACGCTAGGGAAGTGGGAGAAATACCTTATATCTTCATTTCATACGCGAACGCAGAGGTAGTAAGCAAGATGGGTGATTATACGAATGCGGGAATTTAGCCAATAATGCAGCCACTTTAGACGTCAACATTTGTGTAAGAGCGCATCAGTTGCGAAGGTCCATCAAGGGTTACTGGCCTATTCGATCACTACTTATGCCTAGATTCTGCGTACACATGAAAAATCTAGTGAATGGCACACCCTTTGACAGCGCAAAGGATTTAGTTGCACACATCGCAGAAGCTGCCGGAGAAGTCTGAGATACCCGCAGAAGCTTCCAGAATATTCGAAACTCCAATATTCTAAGACAAAAGGGCTCGCATTGCAAAAAGCTGTATTGCGC